ATTCACTGTCCTTTCCTTTAGCTCTGTCCCTTGGCTAATTTTCTGTGGGATTTATTTGATTAGGGTATAAATGAGACAAAATGAAATGATAGTAAGTATTTAAACAAAACCAATTTTGTCATGATTATTCCATGATTTATAGCTGATATGCAAAGGACAGAGGAATACTAATCAAAAGATGAAATTTTTTTACGTAAAACACTAACAACCCTGATGCAATAAAAATTGAACCGCTGCATGCATTTTCTTGATGATGATGATGAAAGCACCAGTATCTTCATATTGAACTTTTCATAAAGATCCATCTGATAACTGTTTTATCCTTTCAGGTTCCCTTGACCATTTTGCTGATTGACTGAAATAACTTACCAGAGCACTATAAGCATACTTCAAACACTTTATGTATTGAAAGGCTGTAGATCCATATGCCTGCTCTTTCAATTCTTATGTGTTTGACAGTGAAACTGGGCCTGATAAAAGTGTTAAGAGGTTTCTTTCTGTTATCTGGTGCTCCCTTTTCATCTTGCCAACCTCTGCAGATCATCCAGATTAATATCTCAAATTACAGAGTGCTCAATCTTTGGAGGTTTCAGATGGCAGCTATAGATGATATTTCTCAATATAGATTCCCTTCCCCCTTCTTTCTTTCTTTGTTTTTTTTAATTACTCCACTGCTAACCAGACATGCCTTCTTCTGCCAAAGACATTTTCATTCACAGATACCCAGTGGAGACACAGAACCTGCTGCATTGTGGGGAATGGTGTGATCCCATTGTTTGAACAGATGTTAGTAAAAGAAAAAACTGTCTCTAATGTCCTTCAGAACTGACACAGACATTGTTGAGTCACTTTTGACAGGGAATGTTCAGAAAGACAAAAATGACCCTGTGCTCTCTTTCAGCTCAGCCTAGAGGTCAGACTGGAGGATCCAACTAAAACCCAACCTCAGACTTTCTATGGTTCAGTGTACAGTTAGATTAGGTACTCCATCTCTACCCCTCATCCAAAATCTTCCTCTTTTTACAGCAGTACTGAACCTGGAGATGGTGTTCTTGGTCACTGATGTTGCTATGAGTATTTGAATGGGTAAAACTAAGCATATTCATGGAACAGAACTGTATATATATATTAGTGAATGTTAGTACAGTCTTTTCCCTATCCTACCTTTCCCATCTCTGCAAAAGTTCCAAGAGTTTTAAAATTTTGGTTTTGCAAACTTCCATTTCAATTGCTATATTTTCATAGTGCTACATCCCTCATCTTTCTAACTGATCCTGGTTTGCAGTGGCCACTGATACAGAAATAAAATTATTTGTGATTTTTTCCTAAGTTCATCAAGAAAAAATATTTAAAATGACTGAAAATAATACATTCTTTTTAGTGCCTCAGCAGTGGCTTGCAATTTGTGAAAAGGAAAGGTAACTCTTTGAGCAATATCTGTCAACGTTCCGAGATTGCCTCAAGGATGAGTCACCAGGGCTGGAAAAAGCCACCTTAAAAATGCCAGGAAGGCTGTTGTTTTCCTTTCTGTTTGTCATTATAAAGAATGAAATATTACCTTGATATAATTTTCATATACTAGCTTTGCCCTCTCCTACACTTCACTCCATGCAAATTATATTTACTACTGTTATTCAAATGATCAAAGATGTATTGTTGATGTAAAATGTTATGGAAAATTTTTATCAGAGATGATAAAAAACCTGTACATCCTTTGACAAAGTCTGCAGAGCCTTGCAGGACCAAGTTAAATATACTTAGCTTCATAAATTCAGTACAAAGTATATTTTCAGCTATATGAAGGCCAACACACGCAATTTTGTGAATGCTAACCATAAAGAGACTCTACATGCTCTCCTCATAAAAATATATCTATATATGTGTGCCTAATTTTACCCTTGGTGCATACTCATCTTTTATTCAAAAGAATGGGAAGGCAGAGCAATTGGAACTCTTTATAAGCTTCAGTACAGGCCAGATAAGAGGACAGTGGACTGGCTGGGCGGCCAAGTTTAACAGGTTAAGGTCCAGCTGGTCACCAGTGATGCTCCATGGGGGTTGATACTGGGGCAGTTCTGGTGCAGCTCCTCATTCCTGATCTGGAGGGTGACACTGAAGGTGGCACCAGCAGGCTGTTGATGACACCAAACTGGGAGGAGCAGTTGATAGACCAGACGGTCACGTTGCCATTCACAAAGACCCCAACAGGTACAAGAAAAGGTCTGACAAGGACATTATGAATTTCAGCAAAGGCAAACACCAAGTGCTGCACCTCAGCAGAAATAACCCCATGCACCAGTACAGGCTGGATGAAATGTGGCTGGAAAGCAGCTTTGCAGACACGGGTCTTGGGGCCCATTTCAACTGTGTGAGCAATGAAACACTGAACCAGGTTGCCCAGTGAGGCTGTGGAGTGTCCATCTTCGGAGATACTCAAAACCCAGCTGGACATAGCTGAAGTTATCTAATGAAGCTGATCCCTGCTTTCAACAGGGACTTTGCAGTAGATGATCTCCAGAGGTCCATTCCAACCTTAACCATTTTCTGTTTCTCTGTTACAAGGAATACTGGTTGGCAGTGTCACAAACTCAGCCAAACCTATCCTGGGCTGCATCCAAACAAGTGTGGCCAGCAAGTTGAGGGAGGGGATTCTGGCCCCTCTACTCAACTCTCATGAGATCCCACCTGCAGTGCTGTGCTCAGCTCTGGGGCCCCAAACACAGGAAGGACATGGGGCGGTTGGAAGGACTTTTTAGAAGGATGTGTAGAGATAGGATAAGAGGGTATGGTTTTCAACTGAAAGAGGGTAGGGTTAGATTTAATATTAGGAGTAAACTCTTTACTGTGAGAGTGGTGAGGCATCAGAACTGGTTGCCCAGAGAACATGTGGCTTCCTATCCCTGAAAATGTTCAAATCCAGCTTGAGTGGAGCTTTTAGCAACCCTGCTAGTGGAAGGTGTCCCTTGTCCTTGCAGGGGTGTTGGACTAGATGATCTGTAAAGGTTCTTTGGAGCTGGAATCTTCCTATGATTTTATGATTCCATCATTATTTTGAAATAATGTAAGAGCTAAAAAGACAAAGTAATGGTGGAATTTAGGAACTAATGTAATTGTCCTTTAGACAAAACATTTGGAAAATGCAAAGCTTCTGAAAAGTTTTTGCACCGGACCATTCAATATAATGGAAAATTATATCACTTCCACAGATAGGAGAATGGGATACTTCAGAAAACCTAGGCAAATATTTTAATGTTCTGTTAAAAGTGAAAGATTTCTAATGTAATTTTTGTAAAGCTGTACTCCTTCTCAGTAGCAGATGCTTGGCTTCCTCACACCATTCAGATCCTCAACAGTAGCGTTAATATTCATTACTTTATTGTTATTTCTACTTTTGGCTTTCTTCTACTTTCCCTGGTGGTATAAAAAATGGAACTCAGAAGAATGATAAACTTGATTCAGAGTTGTTGTATCTAGTTACTAGAGCATGCATTGTATCTGTCATGGTCTTTTAGGCTTCAGAGAACTAGCAAATGCTTTTAGGCTTTGTGACTCCTTATGGAGAGTGCATACATTACTGTCTGGTTTTATACTCACTTCATGGGAGCGAAGTTCTTTTTTTACTCTCTGGTATTCTCTCTGAGGCATAACTGCTAAAAACACTGTTTAGCTTCAAGTCAAGTGCAGGATGGCTATGAATGATCAGAGATAAAAGAGTTAGGGTTTTTTAAAATATGATTGGTGTAAGAGCATTCTTTCAAAAATAAAATAAAATAAAATAAAATAAAATAAAATAAAATAAAATAAAATAAAATAAAATAAAATAAAATAAAATAAAATAAAATAAAATAAAATAAAATAAAATAAAATAAAATAAAATCCACCCATATTGTTCTACAAGATCACCTGAAAGTGTGCTTAGCCTGTCTGATAGATATTTGACAATCAGGTAGGTATGTATGATCATCTCATTGGTGGAATTACTCAGGAAGTGGATCATGCTGTTGTCTAAAACTCTTCTGACATGCTTCTCCAGATACAAAGCACAGAGCCTGTTTACCAGCCAAGCATTTGGTTTAAGTGAACTTCAGGTTTCAGTGTGCTTGGTATTGGAGAGTATTTGAGTGCTGTACATGCTGTGGTTTAGCCAGTCTGTGCCTTCCCTTTTTGTGGAATTCTGACATTAATTGTGTCTTTCAATAAATCTAAACGAGTTCTTAACTCTCTGTAAGAGCAATATGTAAAAATGTTACTGTGTGTGTTTCCATGGTTGATAATTTTCTTCTTCTACAATTTCAAAACTCACATGAATCCAGTGATTTTCTCCATTTTTTATTTTTACAGTAAACCAGGTATATCAGTGATCATATAATGCACAGCAACTGGAGAAAAAAGATCCAGGTAATGGCTTCTCATTCTTCATTTTGATGTTTTTCTAACAACTGTCAGGTAAGTGTAAGAATCTGGTATCCACCTCTTTCTTCCTCAGTTTTATGCAAAGCTCTAAAAATCTAAGTTATGGTTAAACAGAGAGACTGCATGAAACTTCAGCAGGTTCTATGGCATTTGCTGCTGTAAAACTGCTCTTGTTCAGCTACATTATAGTAGGATGCTATTTATGTACATTTATTTCTCCTCTAAAAGTTTGCAAAGGGCAAACTAGGTAATGTGATTAAGTGGCTGAACACAGTAAAGGTTCCAAAAACTAGGTCATTATTGAGATTAACGACTGGATTAAAAGGATTTAGGAGAGTGGTAGGATTTTGATTTGCATATTACTCCAAAGACCTTTGACTTATGTAAAGCCTCCTCTTAAAGACTATCAAGCCAAAGTATTACATCAAGCAATTTAGTTGTTGCAAATTACTCTTGCCTGTTTTTTGACCTTGCGTGTTATTACCCATATTTCTGAACTGGAATTCATATTTCAGCCCTTGTATTGCTTCTTTGGATGTGGCAGATTCGGGGGAGCACTAATCTGAAAGAGATAAGTTGTAAAATAATTAAATCTTAATAAGTATTAGCTATGGGATTCTTGAAGGATTTTACCTGAGAGCATTTTAGTCAGCTGCTAAAAAAGGAGACCTTGTTTAACAGCAGAAACAAGCAATTTAATCAAAATCAAGTCTTCCTGAAAAGCCTCACAAATTTATTTATATTAGTCTTTGTGCTGCTCTACAAGAGTAGATGTTTTGGTGTATGAGAAATCTGTCTAAGATCTCGAGCCTGTAACTGCTTTTAGCAATGGAGCCTGAGGGTCTGCAGGGCTGAAGTCACTTATTTAACATCAGCTAAAGGAAAAAAAATAGTTTTAGGGGTTATTTGGTATAAAAGTCCCTCCATTGGCAGCATGTGCTTGTGTTTCACCCTATGTGGCAATGTTGCTTATGGCACTTGCATGAAAGAAGCAGGGTGGGCTGCTTTTCTCTGGGCAATCCAGCACAGACAAATGTGATTGTGGGAAAGAGGACAGATGACATTCTGGGGGTGAATGATTCTGTAAGACACAACATTTCTGACAGTAAGCAAAGTAGGAGAAAAGCCTCAAATACACCACAGGGTTAGCAAAAGTAAATAATCTTAGGAGTTTCAGCAGAAGTTCAATACCTGATAGATAATATTTGCAGGTCATATTTTCATAAATAATAGTCTTTCTATATTATCCAGCCATTTGTGTCTGAAGAGCACTATATTTATTTTTATGAACCTCTAACCTGACAAATGTTCTTACTCTTTATCTGCTCTGCTTTTAAACAGTATTGCTTTAATATGTCTGACTCCACTGGCCCATCCAGGGTTGGGATGATATCATTTCAGAAATTGCTTTAATCACCCTCAACCTCAAAAGTAAAAATTCTACTCAAAAGTGCTACTAACACCGATGTGTCTGAAAAACAGATGAATATGTGGTATGTGGGATCATTAGCTGACCTAAGGGATTCATATAAATATGTTACTCATAACATCTAAGATTTTTCTCAGTGACTCAATCTTAATTATGCAATCAATACAGAATTAAAGCCAAGGAATGGTCCAATAATTTGAGTTTAGATTTATTGTTCAGGAGTTTTAGTGTAAAGATAACACTTGTGTGATGTTGTATGAGTGAGTCTATCACTAACTTTTATATTTTAAAAATCCCAAATTAAACATGTACTTCTTACATTTAGAGAACACCAGAGGTGCTCTCAGAAGCCAGCTTCAGCTTTAAAAAACTGTAGCTTTCAATGTTTTTTTTCTGTCAGGACTTTTGAGCCACAGTTAGTTATGATGAGTAACAAAACTTTTCCATGTCCTGGCTTCATCCACTTAATTTTGTTTGCAGTCAAGATGGGTTTCTATTCATACAGCATTCCGATTTCATCAAATGTTTTCTCCTCTCTGAAAATATTCTTCTTCTTCCTTTCCTTAAGCACTTTCCCACTGTAATTACAGAAAACAACATTGTAAACACTCATTGTGAAAAGGTGTCACTACATTTTTAAATCTGGTCTCTGAGGTCCCAAGGCTGGAAGAAGATAGAGGAATAAAAAGATATATAACAAAAGCTGATATGGCAAACTGACCTGACTAATGCCTGTGGTTCTGACCAGGTGCTAGGTTTTGATCCCAGGATTTTTTTTTTTCTTTGTTCTATTTAATTAATGACCTTTGACTTTGAAACATGAGGATCACAGGCTGCTTCAGTTAAAGACAAGAACTCAATACCCAAGGTGAAAAGTTAGCATCTCTGCATTGTTTCCTTATACTCCTCTAGAGCCTTGGCTGGAATGTCTTCAGAAGGAGTAGTGGAGAGCTGGCACTATCCAGAAGTTTGTATAGCCTGATGGCAAAGACCACAACTTCAGAAGTGAGAACTGTGCCTTTGAACTTCGTTAGACTGAGGAGATGTCCGGGCTGGGAATCCTACACTTCCTGGGAAAAGTGCCCTTGCCACTAAGCTGTAGCATTAGAAGTAATTTGTAATGATAAGCTGCTGCAACTACCTTTCATGGAGAGTCACATCTTGTTGATTTGCTTTGGACAAGTTGTGAGGATGGTTAGCAGATCACTCCCTCAAAGGGATTCCCATTGAGAAATGTCATGTTGCTGAATTCCTTTCAAGTTGGAATGGAAGATGGATGCTGAAGGATCTAACTGCAATGCTCATGGTCCCATAGAAACCAGAATTTTAGCTACCAGGAAACCTTAGAAGTACAAAAGTACAAAATAGCTGAGTAAGTGGTCTGGAGTCATAGTATTCAAAGCTGATTTTGGTGTTTGGTGTTTTGGAGCCTTAATGAAGTCTTTGAAAAAGACCTCAGGCCGGGAAGGCACAGCAGTGCTGTGACAGAGGTTGTCCCAGCTCTGCAGAGAGGGTGAGGGTGTTCCTGCAGCCAGCCCTGCGGCAGATCCCGGAGGAGCTGCGCGGGAGCCCCTCCACACACGGCCCCTGGCTGCCTCCGAGCCCTGGGTAGCAAACAAGCACATATTGCTGCCTTGCACTAGTTCATCATGACTGACAAAAACATGTTTATTATTAGCTATTGGCTTCGGTAGCTGTTTCTTGCTCCAGCAGAGGTTCCTGTTTTATGAAGGATTAAATTATGTTCTTTGCAAAATGAAGAACAAAATAAGTGATATTTCTTTTGTTTTTGAGGATCAAAGCAAACATTTAAATGCACAAAATCAGGATTTTTTTCAGAATATTGAGTTTTAATTACTAATTCTTTTTTGTAGAATCTATGACAAAGCAGTCCTGAAAGAACAATTAGTAAACATCAGTTATAACAATGCTACAGAACAACTTCATAACTTAAAGGATTAGGGAAGCATTTCTTTAAAATAATCACAGATGGTTACAGAAAGAATCTTCACGCTGCTAGATGACTAGTGATGTCAAAGTGTTCAGTCAATGATGGCTTAAGCAGCTTGGCTAATACAGCTGATAAACATGCTGATAAACTCAGAAAGCTTGCTACCAAAAAAATAAAAATTCAAGGTACTGCTTGAAGATTAGTGTTCTTCAACCAAATGTATTTAAAATATGTCATGTATAGGACACAGAAAAGAAGAAAAGATTATTGCTTTTCTTTTTAAATGAAAACAGTTTTTCTCACAAGAAGCAGCTGCTTCAAGTAACAATGCAAAATCTCTAGTTTCACTCTTACATAAAAGTAATTATAGATTTAAAAATCAGATATACACACCATAAACTTCAGCAGGGCGACATAAAAAGAGCTCTAGCTCACAGGGACTCTCCAGTACATTCCAAGTTGAATATTTGGACTTCTCAGTAACTCCAGGTCTCAAGCAGGAGAATCAAGTCATCTTGATGACTTATTCAACCATCTGTATTTAAAGGAACAGCTTTTCCAAGATCCTCAAGATAACTCAAGAAGATGTCAACAGAAAATTTCTGGTAGAAACCAGATACATTTGTATCATTTTAGGAGGTTCATTGGTTTGGAATGGTTGAGATTTTTTGTGTGTTTGTATGTTTATATGTTTTGTTGGGGGTTTTGTTGGTTTATTTGTTTGGGGTTTTTGTTTGGAGGTTGGTTTGTTGGCTTGTTTTTTTAAAATCCCACAGGTATGTACAGGAATATCTGGATGTGTTAAATTGTGTCCAAGAATTTCTTCCCCAAACAGTTTCTACTCTACAGACTTGATTCACCTACCTTTACCTATACAGTAGTTGGGCTTCTACACCAAATTTGATGACTGCATTTCCTCTAACAGGTAAGTGGGTGGCCCACTGCCAGAGAGCAATTAATTCCAGCCTGGCTAAGATGCCTTTTTTAAGATAAACTCTTATCACCCTCAGAAAGTTTTTGTTACTCTTCATTGACTCTCACTTAGACAAGATTTTTAATTTCTAGATGGCTAAAGCTAGGTGAATCCCATATGAAAACACAGTTTAAATGATGAATGGGATAAACAGGAAGAGGAAACCAGAACAAAATTGGAGTTTTTTAAAAAATGTTTTAGAATTGATCAGTGCAGTGTTTAGCCCTTATCAAATCTGTACCAGAAACTGCATTTTTTTACTTATCTTAAGTTTTAATTACTTCAGTTGGAATGCAGAGAACATACATTAGTAGGAGGAAGATGGGATTTGCCACTCAAATTCAGTCTGCTAGTTAAATAATTCCTTGTATTACAAAAATTAATTAAATGGTCTGTCTTTTCTTTTAACAAAAGAAAATACTATTTCCATCATGATAGGTTGTCATATCAACTTAACTTACAAGTGGCCTGACCATGTTATATTTTGAATGCACCCACAAGCATGTATGTTCCTCCAGACCCTGGTTGCAGAATGGACTGGCTTCCAAAAATAATTGCATCATTTTCTCTTCTTATTACTGAGTGTACACATGTGATATATAAATTATATCTAAAATGTTGAAAGAAGGAGAAAAAGAATCATGAAAATTACGCTTGGCTTGTGCCATGGGACAGTGTGTGGGTCTGTGATTGAATTCTCTGTGTGAATTCCAGCTGCAGTATATCCCCATATATCCCAGTGTCCTCTAGTGAGAAATTTGGATGCCCGTGGGGCTTTTATATACTCCAAGAGATTTCAATTGGCAAATGGGACTGCATGGCACAGCTCCAAGTGTACCCACTTTGCAGCACAGACATAACCACTATGAGCTAATTAAGTATGTTGTGAATAAATCAGGGTGAATTCACTAGTGATGATTGCCTAAACCCAGAACGCTTGTGGCTTTAAGTTGGTACTACCTTCTTACACATTCAACAGAGCAAATTTGTGATCAAATTCTTTAATTGCTTATCTTTTATTTAGGTCATAAGGATCTTGTTCCTTTCTGCTGCCCTTGTGAGGTGCTCCCCTGTGGAGTCTGCAAAACACCTCTCCCTCTTTCCCTCTCTCTCTCCTGTCCTCCCCTCTTCTTCCCTTCCACAGCCATTATATTCAAAGAAGAAAAAATCAATAAGGGTCACACATCTTTCATTTATTTATTAACTAATTCAATTACCTCAGATGAAATACTGATGTTTCTAGTTATATGTTTTAACGCTTCCCATGAGTGATTTATATTGAGGGATTTACAGGCCACTAATTTTACTCACCAGTGTCTGATATATTGTTTTACAACCACAAAAAAATCTCTGAGAGGTACGAGATTCATTGTAGCCTGCTATCTGTTCACACTGCACACTGAATTATAGCCTTGGGTAACCATCATCTCACACAAAAGAAGAGCATCTTCTGTGGCTCTGTGTTGTGTGTGCAGAGATCTACAGTGTGACCCAAAACATCACTTACCTGTGTCAGGGGTGGCATTGACAGCAGTACAGACATGCCACAGGGGGCAAGACATAGCTCAGGTCCTCAGAACTGGAAGTCCCAAACAGATCTTGAGGTCTCAAACCAAAAAATAAATTATTCTCTGTTACTAATGGAGGTATTGGACATGTGCCATTCTGTGGAACTAAAAATCCAACATTTTTCAAGCAGAAAGACCAAGAAAAAGCAAAATTGTCAGTGGTTCAGGCCAAAAAACTGTGAACAAGGTATTCTTAGAGTATCAGTTTATGTAATTGATTAAATAAACCTCACATTGCAGAGTCCAGAAAAGAATTTATGTGGAAACATGATTCTTTCTCTCTCTTTCCAGATAGTAGAAAGGAAATCAAACTATATAAAGCTTAAGGAACTATGAGGATACAAAATTAAGCCAAGCTGGGTCAGGAGAGTCAAACCTGTGGCTGTATCAACATTATAAGATTAAATCCAAGAATCAAAATTTAAAAGGCTGGTGACATTCCTGACAAAGGTACAGACTAAATTTACACACTTGTACAGAGAGAACACGAAAGAACAGAGACACCTTTATAGTAATTTTACCTGCAAAAAATAGACCTTACAGATACAAATGGAAAAACCCCCTCAGGTTTGTAGTCAGTTGTTCTCCTTTATACTTTTTTCTTAACACTTCTAAATTCACTCACAGTGAATTCAAACACAGTGAAAAAAAATTATGAAAGCTGAGGTGTCATTTTTCACTACTTCTCTATTTTTCAGTTTCCAATTTTATTAACATCAACACCAAAAAATATTTTCCTCCCCCACCCTGTGTTCTCATATGAGAAAGTGACTGAAAACAAGAAAGAATCTTGACCTTTCAATTAATATGTTTTAGGCTATACCATGAGTTGGACATATATTTAGGGTACTAATTTCAAGGTAATCATTAATTAATTGCATTCATAAGGCTGTTAGCAACTTCATTAACTTAGTACCTCAGCATATCTCTGTCGTCAGTGCTGCTATCCCAAAACCCCTCTTGAATATCCTTACAAGTGTAACTGAGGCTGTGTGATATGCCAACATGCCAAGACAGTCTGGGTGAGCTTCATCTCACAAAAGTTTCAGAATCTATGATCCAGATGTCTCCTTTATGAGCTATTTTTATAGAAAATTGAGAGAAATATGCACCCTTATGGAATTATTAATGTGACCTATCTACTTTGGGATAAGAAAAATCATGTCTTTTGTCTCTAAAGGGACTCTGGACTTCTGACAGACATTGTTCAAGGACTGTGTGGTGAATTCTAACAACCCTAGCCATAGACACATTGTTCAGTGTATGGCAGAATAAAACTCCAAATACACTGAGCACAGGTTCCACGCTTCTGGGATAAGAATCTAGGGTAGCTTCAGGCATTTCTGCAATCTTAGTCCCACCAATAAAATGGTATCCTTTAAAAAAATATCAAGAGCATTGTAAAAGGGAGTTAGAAAGTACTTGTTCTAAGTCACTTTTATTCTGCAGAGTTAATTAAAATGTGAATTCAGCATCAGAAATCTTTTCAGTGCTGTTCAAATTTCTTTCTCTGACATGTTATTGTCCAGATTGAACTCCACTGAACATTTTGCAACTTTTTTCTTTGTAGCCTCAGCAAAGCAAGTACTAATTTCCATTTGAGGTGCCCATTCTGAGGGCACAGAATGACCCCCAGTTTCTTGTAGGTATAAACAAAATGGATTGCTTGGAGACTGCGTGCAAAGAACTAAAGGCAGCTTCTGATGTGTTAGACTGAATTTCCAATTAGGCCATGTCTTTGGGTTCTTTAATTTATTTCCAGTGTGCGAATTCTTATGCAGTTTCTGCTCTTTCACTCTTGAGGACATCCAGAAGATATTTGTAATCAGTTTAAAATAGCTTTGAAGTTCTTTCTAATTATTCTGTTCTAGAAGAGCACATTGCACGGGTATTTGCACGGTGAAATTTCTATTTGAAACATCATTGTCATCTGCAGGACTGTAAATAATTTTACATTTTTGACCCTCTTGGAGCTCCTACAGTGTTCAAGATTTTTTGGGTGGGACACCTTGATGTTGTTCAGCAACAGATTTACCTTGAAATTTCTAACCTTATGCTTACTATTGGGTTGGCTCTATACACATATATAACAACACATTGTCGAAAGAAACCTTATCCATTTTAAACTCAGAAATTTCAGAAAGCAGTTTGCTGCATCTGAAGTTATCTTGTAATATTATAACGTGGTAAAGAGTTTAACTATCTATGTGCTTTTCTAGTGTGAACAAATATGTATAGAAGAGTGTGCCTGCATGAAAAAGGTTGGATACCAAGTAAAGAAGGATTGGTTGAGCATTACACAAAAAGCAAAAGAAGCCTGAGAATCTGACCATTCATCAAAATGGTGAAAAATTATAATCAGGTACCCAGTGTTGCCCAGGAAATTACAGTTTATGTAAAATAAAACACGCTTCAAACCAGACATGGATTGCTCAAAAAATTATTTTCTTTACCTAGTCCTGCCTTCACAGCTCCATATACTCAAAATCCCCAACAATTATTAGCAATTCCTCATTAGTATGCTCCTGACACTACCCTAGGAGAATTCAGGGCTACAAATGCAAAACTCTAAAGAGGATATCAATTATTTGCCTTAATCATTGTCATCCACAGCATTTAAACAATATTCTGTCTAATCCTGAGAACCTGTTCCTGAACTCAAACTGCATAATTATCTACACTATTGCTATTTTAAATTATTTTCCTTTTCAAATCATCGAGTCAAGCAGTAAAAATGAATTTTCACTAGGAAATGAGCAAGCCTCTTATCTGCCCTTCAGTAAGAAAGCTGGCACAGATTTTAGTTTTAAAATTAATTTAAAGAAACACTGTGCTTTAAAATTAGTTCTATGCAATGGTTAGTAAGAGCTCTGCAAAAGCCCAAGGCTATCAATATGGTCCATAAACTGTGTTTTTGGATGGAGTCAGACTCATATTCAGGTATTACAGTAAGTTTCCTCTCAAGTCCAAGGCTAACTGTATGGAAGGCAGAAGACAGGTAATGCAATAATTACAGGTGAAAGAAAAAGGGAAGGTAAACATATTGTGCAAAATTAGAAACACAGAGGTGGCCGAGGGTGATGACGACATCCTTTCCATTGGATATTGTGATGTCTGTCAGTACTGACTGAGGTGCTCCCAAGCTCTGTCCCCTGCCCTTCACAAACACCCCATCACTATTCCTCATACCCTTCACATTGTACAGCTTTGGGTATCACCAAAGGCAAACACCAGGCACAAAGCTTGTCTTCATTCCTCTTTGACAAATCATCCAAAGGCTCTGCCAACTGCAGTCACAGACACTTTTTATTTCTGTGCTTGCAAGTATTATTTTAAAGCTGTTCTTGCTAAAGCCAGGGTAAAATAAACAGCTAATGGGCTTGTGGATTGTAGAATGATAGACACTTTTGCCTTAGATCCTTCAAATTTCCATTTTTAGGAAAAGTAGCTGCACTAACATGCAGCCATGTTTCTCCTTGAACTTGAAATGATGCAACTCACATCAAAGTTTCCTAAAAATACAGCATCATTGTCCAAGGTATTATTAAAAAGCTGAGTGATTTTATAGGATCTTTATTTTTTGACTTATCCTGGCTGAACATTTTTCGTCTGATTTCTAACAGGCAGCACTAAAGCACTATTAATTCACACACACACACACCATTCATCCATCTGGAACATGTGTGACTAAAATGAACTCTCAAGTCACAGCCAGCAAGGGGACTGAATAAGTTTGTACTAATATTTGGAAAAAGATTCTTTCTCCACTAATTATCAGAATTAGAACTCCAGAATAATTTCAAATCTCTAGAAGCAAACAGATCATGAGATCTAGAAAACAAAGCTGAGTACAAGTCCTAGAGAGTCACAAAATGCAGTAAATGATGGAAAAATGGCTGAAATATCAGAAGTTCTGACAGAATTTCACACTCAGAGGGGCCTATGGAAAGCTGTGCAGAGACATGACATGGGATTTAGCACTGCTTTCAATAGGATCACATAAGGCCACTGAACTACAGTTTTTTATATAGGGAGTCTTCAACTCTCCTTAACAAGTATTTATATTCCCATAGCAGAGAATAACAAGCTAAGATGGAAGTTGTATTTTTATCTTAAAATCCTTTCATTATTGAACTCTTCACATTAAAGATCTTTCCACTTGGCAGTTCAAGTAGCGTAATTTGCAAAATATAGCTTACTCTGAAGATTGCTAGTGTATGTTTCAGGCTGATAAAGATTACTTCCCAGCTGCTTCCCATTCACAGACAGTATGTGTGGCCTTCCCTAAAGAGAATGGAAAATGTGGTACTATATCCCAGTATTGCATGCCTTATACCCACTTTATGTGTTTATGTTGGGTTTTTGCTTCTGGTTGCTATAAGGCATGTTTTTTGAGACCCTGCTTCTTGTAGGTACCTATTGGTTTTGTTACTCTTATTGTTGCTGTCTTTTATCTGGCTATTTAGGAAAGCATTCCTGAGGCTTCATGTGGCAGATAAAACTGGGGAGCTTCTTTGCAAGTTTATGTTGGAAGTTCTTTGATACTATCATGACTCCAAAGGAACTGTGCCCCAGTAGGCCTAGCTAGTGTGAGAAATCCAGTGTTATCTACAAATTGGTCATCTCACGCTGCCCTTTAACCGGTGGCTCCACTGTCAGCACTAATAAAAGTAGGTGACAGACCTTGGGAGGTAAGCCAGCCATTGATTCGCTCCGGATACCCGACTGTGTTGGCTGATGTGTGAACTCTCGGTGCCACAGAAATAAAGTGCAAATTGTTTTTTAAAAATGACTGCCAGGAGTGGAGTGGATGCTTTTTTTCAGAATGTCACACCCAGTGAGCTGTGACACACAGCCAAGCTCTGGTCCCCCTGACAGAAAGAGGAATTAGGTTTACGTTATACAGAAAGATTCAATATCAGCCCAGCATCATGTTGATTTAGTTATTTTAAAATGACTCTTCTTGCCCTCAGTACTCTTCCAGAAACAGGAAAACTAACATTTTACCTGCTGGTAACTCAGGGATCAAAGAAATAAT